TGAAAACAAATGTGTATTTAAGACCGTCGAACAATGCAGATGTAAGAATTGTTTCGATCTGCGGCAGAAATTGCACGCAGAGTTGTCTACGTGGATTCCGGCCGAGCCAACATGTAAGGTTAGTGTCATCTATTAGACATACGAAGTTCAAGCATATATTTAAACATTGTAAATCAGTGTTCTTCAAATTTTGTTAAAACACCCCATGGGCACTAAAACCAAACACAGCTAACCAAATATAGAAACAGAAATAAGTGTAGATAGCAGTTTGTTTATTAAATTCAATGTCGCAAAATTACAATTTTTGAAAGTCTGCTGCTGCTTAAATTTAGATAATCTTGTATAGGTGGTTGGAGCACTGTTTCTGTTAGACGAAGCGCAGCAGTAACATACAGTCAGGGTGGGGCTTCGAATAACGAAAAATTGCATCCCACGTGGGAACGACATTTTAAAAACATTTTTTTTTAAATTGAGGAATATTCAAAACTCAGGCAATGATTTCATCTTATGCACGAGCACAGAAGTGGCAAATGAAAGAAACTCAGCTGCTCGGCCCGCCTCCGAACTTTTACCCCCGCAGTATGGTGGCCTGAAATATCCGTTCGGGGCTCGGTCCATTGAAAAATGCGGACTTTCTGCCAAGGAACAAATCGCGGCAAAACTAGGATGACTTGACAATTTCAAGAGACGCAACATTGCAGACGATAGTAGCAGACGATATAAGCGACCGGTGACACTGTCGAGCGTTTCTGCAGACGATACTAGTAGACGATAAAAGCGACCGTTGACAATTTCAAGACATTACAGACGATGAAAGCGAAATGGCGGGTAGACCACGCGCTCCCACGCAGATTAGCAATACTGTTCTTCCGATTGAGGATTTAGCAGCGGTAGATGTCAGACTTGTCTTCTTGCGCAAAACGCGATTAAACTCACCGCCGAGAGTATCCCCCGCGCCACTACGCGCGGCGCGGATGGGGGGGGGGGGGGGGGCTAAACTATGTGCCTGGGACTCATGTGCAAAGTAATTGGAGGCAGTTGCAAGAGATGCAGTAGCTGCTGCTCGTGAGTCCCAGCCGCGCGTAGCGGCGCGGGGGATACATTCGGCGGTGAGGCAGTCACAGAAACAGGTCCGCAAGTAACATATCGCTAAGAACCTGTAAGAGCATTTTTTTCGTTTTTCTGAGCCGATCCTAGATTTGCTGCGATTTGTTCGTCAGCAGAAAGTCCGACAATGGAAAGTGTCAACGGTCGCTATTATCGTCTGCTACTATCGTCTGCAGTGTTGCGTCACCTAGAATTGTCAGGTAATCAGAAATAATAAGAAACAGGTCCGCAAGAAACATATCCCTGGGACCATAGAGCATTTGTTTCGTTTTACGCTGAGCCGGCATATTTTTAATAGAACTGTGCCCCGAACGGATATTTCAGGCCGCCATACTGCGGGGGTTCGGAGGAGAGTCCAGCTTCTCTTTCTGCAATGATCAAGTAGGCATGGTCTTGAATACCACTTTTCAGTTGAAACCAGCAGAAATAAAAAAATTCTCCCATAGCTGCAAACATTTCTATATCTCCATCGTGTCCGTGATTATCCTACACAGCCTTCGTTTATTTCTCAGTGTAAAAAATATTTGTACAAGTGCCATGAAAAAAAAAAAAAATGGTAGGTTCGTTTAGATGCCTAAAATGTTCGCTACATACGCTAGATTAGTCATCTGTTCATCGTTCTATAAAAGCCCTAATGGGTCGTATTTTTGCTTTAGGGGGAACTGCTTCACTTTCTCGTTCAGTTCGGAAAATCGATGAAGAATGTGTCCTCTTTACAACCGTTCAATTCTGCATGAAAGAGGAGACTTAGAAATATATATCCCTACTCTCACATACTGGTATGAATATTCTGCAATTCAAAGCTCGACTGCGAATTTCAGAGATGATCCTAGCAACATTGATAATTACACTATTAGGCTAAGTGTAAAGCTTTTCATGCAGCGAGGCTCTTCTAACGGATCATACAACGAGCTGACAAAACCTAAAGGTGCGAGACTTGTGTTATTTTCGTGACTATCCTGAGCAACGCCCGGTCATGCTTTCAGAACTGTCCGCAAACGTTCCGATACATTTTTTCAAACCCAAGACTGCGATTGAAAATAATCTTCAAGAACATTACATACTTCTGAACTAACTGTCCGTCCAGGCAAGTCAAATCAACAAAGAAGTTAGTCGTTAGTCAGGGTGTCAACTTCACTGCAGACGGGTTGCACCATAACTGCTGTGTTCCGGTGCCAGTGGATATTATACAGAATGTCCCCCTCCCCCTCCCCCACAATCATATTTGTAAACTAGAGCAAAATCGAAGTTTGCACACGCATAGTAAATGCATAAGGCTGCCGTATGAAGTGCCAACACTAACAGTCCAACATCAGAACTGCAGCTCATCGTTAATGCTAGCCGTCAGTTACCAAGGCAGGCATTGTACTCGCAACACGGCCTAAGTAAACGCCATTCTAAACGCAATCAACCACACTTGTTTTGCAATTCGCCATACAAGCCGTAGCGGGCACAACAACTTTGCAGCAATACAGTTCCGGAATTATTTAGCTGCTACATGATTTATAATCCAGCTAAGGCTGCTCTAATAAAACTGTGTCGTGCCTTTGAACGGGGTTTCGAGGATATTACCTGTGTAATTTTTAATCCTTGAGGTTCTTTTCATATAGACTGCAATCATGGAATAGATAAACCATCTACCCTACACTGTTAAATAATATGGCAACATTGGCAACGAAGGATGGTCTTTATGGCTTCATATAAAGTCTAGCGCCTTATTAGTCTTAATCCAACCCTTCAGTCTTGATTTCTAAAGCTAGCAAGAGCGAGCAGGGCTATGGGAAAGCGCAAGACTTTTAGTTAGTATGATAGTTCCAGTACCTTTCTTGGACACCTTTGACAGAAGGTATGCAGCATAACCACAACCAATGCCTTTTTGCAGCAGGTCATGGAAGGGATACAGTCATGTGTCCTATTCATGAGATTATGTGTATAAAATCATAGACACGCTGAGATAGATTAAGATCTGAAGGTTGGCTCTGTTCGTCTATGTTCGAGTCCCTTCTGTTCGACGTCCTTCAGATATCTCAGGGATGAGGGATTCAAATTACACTTCCATGTATTTAATGAGGTTCCTGGTTTTAACTTGATCTGACGTCCTCACCACTTTCAAAACCCCCAGACTGCCAAGAATGTTTGGTAGTCGAATTACAATACTTCTATGATCAGGACAGGCATAACTATTATAGGCTCAACAACTGACTCAACTATTAAAACAATCCATGAGATTAACAAAGAGATCCTTATAACAAGAACAATAATGTGAAATTAATTAATCACAGACATGTAGAGACGGTAAGGCAAGATATAATGGGTACTCCTTAGAATGGACTGAAACATAGTTCTCCTGAAGGTTGCCACAAGCATTTCCTATATCATCGCATCCCTATAGAGGATGTCATAACTTGTCACCGTGTTTGCAGAAACCAACGTAGAGCCGTATTCTTATCTGTGGCGGAGATGATTCTCCCAAAGGGTCTTCGTGTTGGGCTATCCCCACATGTCCCTGACCAGAATGGGGGAAGAGTCGTTGTATCCTTTCAGGAGACATATCGAGGTGGTTCTGTGTCCCCGAGTGTGTCGGTATACCGATGACCTTATCTTGATTTCCTTGAATCTCAGAGTGACGTGGATATATACTTATGGCACAACTTCGAAAATGTTTTGACGATGTGCCGAGAAATACTATACCTTAGGCAAAGCGAATCTATTCAACAGGATGTCGTACGTGACTTAGATAATAGACATGTAATAGTCGACTCCAGTGAAATAATGGATAGAATCAGAAAAACATGATGACCTGAATAGACTATTGTAGAAACTGAATGTACTGGATACACTGGACGATGCACTGCGTTCACTGGACGTACTGGTGGATATATGGATTTATATCCCGTTATACGTCTAACTAGATACGCCACTGGATCTCCCACCGCATGCAGATTGGATGACAAATTGGATAACAAATTTGATCTTTCAGTCCTCTATGATGCCAAATAAGATCATGAAACAGAATAGATCTTATATCACGATAAAAAGGAACGTTCACAAAAGAACGTTGTGCCGCTCCGAAAGTCTAGAAGAGAGAGTGACGTCATTGCACTTAGTGCTAGCAACGATGGTATTGTGTCATAGGTTGTCCAAGATGCGGAAAGCCTCATTGAAGTAGGGGTGCTGAGGTTGTTACGCGACACAGCCTCCATGGTGGTCCCAAGAAGATGAACAGGCATGGAGAGCAAAGCAAGCAGCAGTTGAACAATAGCAGAAAGTGCGTAAGACACCTCACGTATTACAAGATGATGTAGAGATGCTAGGAAGAGTTGGACAGAAAAAAGTAGATTTCAAGCGGTGTGCAGCAGCTGAAAAAAAAATGTAAATGGGAACATTTTATAAGCGAAATTTTGAAGGACAAATCACTGAGTAGGTTTTGGAAACTCATAGACAGATGCAAAGGAAGGGTCGACCTATCACACCGGGTAATATATACACTGATAATGGTATGCCAGTGATAACAGGTAATGAGAAAGGGGAAGCATATATGGAGACAATAATAGCACAAACTGATCATAATGATGGGAAACTTAGAAATTCAGTTAGAGATAATAGGTCCAACACAACAAATGATAATTATTTTCAGGATATCATTAGGGTGGAGGATATAAACTATAGATTGCAAAACGCAAAAGATGCTTTGTTAACGCCAGAGGTATGCCAAAATGAAGAGCACGAGTGATGAAAACTTGAGTGAGATGGCTTATCACTTCAACCAGAGCATCAGAACAGCTTCAATACCTCAGGATTGGGTACACAGCTACACAATCCCACTTCCAAAACCAAGCACAGATCATTCCAGACTCAGCACTTTCAGGACTATCACCCCAGAAAATACTCTTAGCAAGGTGCTAGAGAAGATTATTGCCATTGCACTACAAATGTTTTTTGGAAAGGAAAAAGCTCCTGCCAAAAGGTTTGGGAAGTTACTGGCCAAAGGAAGATACTAGGTCTAATGCAGCTAATTTTGCTTTCAATGTTATAAGGGCTTCCAGAATAGACAGGAGACCGTATCGGCATCACTTGATCTTGATGATGCTTACAATACAGTTAGGTATGATGTTTGATAGCTGCGCTCGTGGAGAATGGAGTGTGCCCCTGACTGGGGAATTGGAAGGCAGATGTTCTGCTTTCCCGTATGGTTGCCCTTTGCCTGGGTACATGGATCTCAGAAACATGTAATTTCGTCCCGGGACTACCTCGGGGTTCTGCAGTTTTACCAGTGTTCTTCAATGTGTATACAAGCAAGGCTGCAGGACTTGTAGTGTCAGGTGTTGAAAGGATATTGACATTTGCAGACAATGTTCTTGCAAATAAACAGGGGAGTGATAGACAGCACAAGAATTACAGACAACTGTGGACGAAGTGATTGAATGGTGTGCAGAAATGGGTGCAGTCATCAGATCAGAAAAGGCGCCTATTTTGTGACGTTCTCTGGGCAATAGCATTGTAAGAACCGATGTTCGAAGCCTCACATGGACATGGAACAAAGAATGCTGTTTACAATGTTCCATCATTTGATCCTGTCGGTGATAGATTATGGCCTTGGAATGCCTAACGTATTAAAGAGTCAGCTGATGAAACCTAAACGCATACAGAATGAAGCCATGTGGGTAATTCTGGAATGGACAAGAAACACCCCGGTAGTATGTATGCGAAATATGCCTGCTCTGCCCACTTTTGCAGATACGCTCAAAGTTTTGCTAGCAAAGTCATATCTCAGAGTAGCTGCAGACAAGAAGCACCTCCTGCATGAAGCCTTAGGTAGAGCTAAGGGTAACAAACTAAAAAGATGAAGGTCTTGGATGGCGCAAGCTGAAGACAAAATAAGCCATGTGTGCAGGCTTGATAAATCTGGGCGATGAGAGGAGTGGGTCAAAGTGTCCGAGCAAGAATCAGACTTTTGTATAGTTCTAATCACTTTAAGTGGTGACTGTAGGGACTGACCAGCTGGTGCTGCAGAATCAGAAGTTCAACAAATGACTCAAGACAATTGCCGCCCAGGTGATGTGATTATCTAAAAAGATGGCGCTGGGTTGAGAGGCAAACGAAGTGCAGAAGAGAATGGACGTCGCTTAGTGCATCACAGTCTGCCATATGACATTACAACGTCTAGTTTTAGATGGAGGCGGAGGCAATCACTGCTACCTTCCGGACTGAAAAACATCTGAACACATAACATCATGTTAGAGGTCCAGGAACCTCTTTTGGATATTTTCTCTAGGTCATGCTGGTGTGTTGGGAAATGAACAGGCAGATAGAGTGGCCAGTTCTGCAATACTTAATGGTGAATTTATGTATGATAAGCTAAATGTTGTGAGGACCCTTTGGGAGCGAGTAAACAGTGCGAAGGCACAAATAGATCATTACAGTCTGAGGAAAATGGCGTTGCGAGAAGTTACCAGGGGATCTGGCTGACGCTGAACACTCAAGGGGCAGGCTAGACGGATTTACAACCAGACAGCTACTGGTAGCTTCGGAACTGGAACTCTTTGCTTGCTGTTGAAAATGGGGAGGAGCGCTTTTGGGAGTGTCCAAGTGCTATGATGTTGATTGCACATCAATTTTTTTATAATTTTGCCGCACCACGTTGTAGTCTCCTTTCTCTTCTTAAATCCAGTGATACATCTGTGCGAAACCCTTTTGATGTTTTATTATTTTTCCCCTCAAGTTAATAATTCACATCTGATGTTTTATTATATTTCCCCTAAAGCTAATAATTTACATATGATGTTTTGTTGTCTTTCCCCGAAGCTAACATTTCACATCTGATTGAAATTTTATTACGTTTATGTTCCTGAAGCTAATATTTCACATATGATGTTTTATTTTCTTACGTTTATCTAGAGCTACTCTTTAAAATTTGAATGTTTGGTTACGTTTTTTCTAGTGCTATTCAGTCACATTCGATGTTTGACCATTCTATAACTTAAATTACCAGATTACCATGTTTGCCGGAGAAGAGGATTCCTGCAAGGTTATGAAGGATATGACGATTTATTTCATAGGAGACTCCTTTATGCGGCAGCTTTTCATCGCCGTACTCAGTTTAATGCGAAAAAATAAGCCGTACGGTCCATTTATCAACGGAACACCTACAGGTAAATATTAGGCCTCAAGTAGTGAATAGACCTGAAAGTCATAAATCTACATCATAGTTTCAAACTCTTATGGACTCTAAAGTTGACTGAGTCCTAAATGGATGCCATAAGCTGAGGCAAGTTATAAAAATCTTTTACGATGGGAGATTCGAACTCAGGTCCGTCGAATACGGTAAGCCTGAAACGAGAACACTTCCACAATTTCTTCATCCGAAATGAGGACACTTCTATATTTTCATCTTCCTACATGAGGACACGTTAACTAACATTCAATTCTATTTAAATTGTGTTCCATGTATATTTTTGTGACATGATTTTTGTTGGTCTATGGTTAAGCACCAGCAAGGAAATCAACATTAGAATTTTGAGAGCATGCATCTTTCATGTCGCTACATACGAATGTGAGTCGTGGACTATCTCCTAATCCTTAAGAAAGAGAATAGGGGCCTTTGAGCTGAAATGCTATAGAAAGATTCTCAGACTATCTTGGACAAAGAAGAGGAGAAATACTGACATCTTGAAAGATCTGAACATCAATGAAAATTGGCTAATAAACAGCATCCTGTCTCGGAAGCTGAAATATTTTGGTCATATCAAGCGCCACGACGGAAGTGAAACAAAATTATAGCAGAAGGCATGGTACCAGGAAGAGAGGGGGGCAGGGGCCGACCGACACAAAGATGGGCACAGGATATAAGGGACTCCTTGAGTATGAAAGTACATGCGGCAGGAGAACTGGCGAAAGTCCGATTTCTTTCAAGCAGACTGTTTTGCAAAGGACCTGCTACATGCTGATAATGATGATGATGATATTTGTGTTACTTTCTCTCATTAGTTCATTGGGCATGGATTAAAAAAAAATTTCCTTTCTATCGAAACACTGCGTTGGAATAGCTAAGAAGAACTATGCTATCTTTATGCTTTCAGAGTATATGCAACTACTCCACACAAAGTCCACAATTAGACGAACAACAAGAGAAAAAAAAAAAAGAGAGAGAGAGAGAGAGAGAGAGAGAGAGAGAGAGAGAGAGAGAGAGAGAGAGAGAGAGAGAGAGAGAGAGAGGGAGAGAGAGAAAGTTCGTTTAGGCAGCGGTAAGATCAAAAATATCTAACCCTGACAGGAAATCTTCTGTGTGGGGTCTAATACAGCGTAACAGTAACACCTAGGCACACTAACTAAAATAACAAGAATGTAAGTCGACAAATACAAAAAATTTATTTATTTGATGACATATAACAATAATACTTGATGACCCACTGTAAATACTAAGTATACTCGAGAACTATTAACTGAAGGTACACGAGCAGACCAGCAGAAAACTAACCAAGCAACTAGTAAACCAATGAATAAGAAAATACTTACAGATACTATAGCACACCAACAGATCAGCTATAGCGACCTGCCATCAAACTATCTCCTAGCCATAATACACAATGGAAATCAATTCTAACACCATCTAACCAAAAGAAACGTGCCATAATCGCGAACAAGAGCCAGTCTATCGTTGCTCAGCCGGTCCGATCTGACACACCTGTGCGTTGAGACTAAGTGCAGTCAACAACAGCAAACAGGGCGTCTTGACCATACCGTGCTGACAAAAGAGCCATCGCCAAATAAGTCGCTGAAAGAATAAACAAAGTCTTTTATACCCAGTGGCCAGACTTTTCCCCATTTTACTGTCTAAAACTAAAAGCTGTTCCTGTGGCCTCTTGGTCATTTTTAAACCAGAATAAATCAAAATCGTTGAGCTGCTGAACAGTAGTCTTTGTCGTTTTCCAGCCTATCACATATCCAAAAATACAACTTCTACTTGTAAATATTTGAACCGGGCCCTCGTTCTACATACATGTTGAAGAAATTTTGGGAATATTGAAACAAAATTCAAGAATATAATTTAAATGTAATAAGAAGGATAAACCCTGACTTGATATGACATTATTCTTTGTTTCTTAAAATGTTTTTCAAAAATAACATGCAATCACGACTATTTTAGTTTGTTGCACTATATTAAAACAGGCTGCCCATCTTTTAGGTACTAAAGTACAACACTTAAATGACTGACATATAAAGTATTTGATGTTGAATCAACTGACAAACTAAGATAGCCAGAAATTCAAAAATAGGAACACAGAACTTTTGTACCGCTATTTAAATGAGTTAGTTGCCGGTGGTTTTGGACAGATAAGAAGAATTCCTTTTCAAGAATTCCCATATTTCAGTATGGGGAATGGTCAACGTTATGTGACATTTCCAAGTCAACTGATAATGTCTCTTCCTCTCTAGGCACGTCATTAGTGTGTTTAGTGGTTAATCCGGGCCTGGAACTACCACCTCTAGATAATTGCCACCCCGCATCAGTTGCTTTTGTGGCTACTAACGCCCTCTAGGAGCTTTCTCTAATAACAGTAGTAAATACGATCCGTCTAGCTAGCGTTTGTTCTCAGTCCACCCACAGCAGTTTGGTTCATGTCGGATCCACGCGGTGTCAATGGTATCATAGTTGTGTCTGTCAGTAACTGCTGGCGGCAAAGCTCTTTGAAGTCGTGGTGCCTCCCTCGTTTCTCTTCCACAGTCACGCACAGACTTGTGGTAGGTAGGTAGTTCTACCCCAGCACAACATCATTCAAGCAAGAATCACCCGCTGACAGAAAGTGCCACAATGCGGATGAGGATCACCCGTGGAGAGGTCACAGAAACCCCCTTCAGCCGTTAGGCCATATCTATGGCTAGGCCACAACAATGCCCCAGGTTTATTCAGGACCCCCGGCAGAAGCCAGGGTGGGGCTTAAAAAAAAAATTGCATCCCACATGGGGACAACTTTGACATATTTCAGACTTGTGAGATCAACATACAGTCACGTGAAGACTGGTTACTGAAACAAAAAGTGTTCTCTATTCTTCATGCATATAATCAGATTTTTTTTTTTTTTGAAAAAAAAAAAAAAATATATATATATATATATTTTCAGATACACTTAAGTACTGTGACAGGCACTATATGCTAACGACTGAATGCTCACCTTGGATAGGGGTCAACGCAGATGAATGTAAAAATACAGTAAGATGAATATGAATATTATATTATTGTAATAACACCTGACACGTGTGCACATGTAAGCATGTATTCATGCATACACGTAGACAAATACTGATTCACACTCTTACACAATATATGTTGCAATAGGAATTAATAGCAGGACCATTATGGGGAGTCAATATTCGCGATCCTTAAATTGCTCAAGATCCTTCTCCAGAAGTGACACAGGGAGTTTTCAGGTAGTACTTTCCTACCGGTGCTAAAGCGTATACAGTGGTGCGGTGTAAATAAGAAAATACAGAAATCGATAGATCAAGATGAGACACATTACCCTGGGGGATGGGGTATTTATAGTTAGTCGGGATGGGGATGGGGGTTATGTATTGAAGGGGGTAGGATGTAGTAATTTAGTGTTGCTAGTTTGCTGACTGTTGCACCAGGAGGAAAGGGGGGGGGGTGGTATGAACTGATGTAACTGTAGGCGTATATAGGAAAACACTCGAACGCTCCGTGGAGTGTATAGTATTACATAAGGAAATACTGGGGGGGGGGGGGAAGGGAGGGTTTATAGCATTATTGTTGCCAATGTGCACTACAGTGAAAGACTTGACATCCTGACCAACAGTGAAAGAGTTGACAAGATGTATGAAAGACTTCACAAGTTGACCGACATTGAGAGTCACACGCTTTCCGACAGTGAAAAAAGATGGCAACGTGTTCGACAGTGAAAGACATGGCATGCTGATCGACATTAAAAGAGCTGATACTATGTCCGACAGTGAACGAGTTCACAAAATGTGCGACAGGAAAAGATTTGAAAAGTTGACTGGCAGTGAAAGAGTTGACCAGTTGGCACAATGATAGAGTTGAAAAGGTGTCCGACAGTGATGTTGTTCGCGGGGTGTTCGACAGTATAAGAGTTGGCAAGTTGTCTGAAAGGGAAAGGGGTGAGAAGTTGTAGGACAGTGAAAGGCTTGGCAAATTGACCGACAGTGAAAGAGTGGACAAGATGTCCAGCAGTGATAGAGCTGACAAAAAGTCCAATAGTGAAAGAGTTGACAAGGCATCCGACAGTGGAACAGTTGACAAACGTGAAAGAGTTGGCAAAATGTCCGATAGAGAATAAAATGAAAAGATAACCGACATTGAAAGAACTGTCAGTGTGTACAACAAGAAAAAGTAGTTGATGAGTTGACCAAAAGTAAAGAGTTGACAAGTAAACAATAGCAAACGAATGGACAAGTTGTACTACAGTAAAAGACTTGGCAAGGTGAAACAGAGGACAAAATGTACGGCAGTTTTTTTCCTATACAACCTACCCACGACACGACTATTTCCTTATGTTACTCAGTATGTATGGACCCAGTTATCCCTCGACCTAATAATCTATGGTTATATGTTACTTTATAACTGTATACATTCGGTGAGAATCTACGTGGTATCCACAATATTTTCTGTTATAACTCTATACATCCTATGGATATATATTTATATCACGCTACACGTGAAGCACATTATACACCTGAGCTATTTATCGCTTTTTATTTTGTCCTCTTTAAGACTAGGCTTTGCGAAAGCATCGGGCAGTTTTGTTAATATAATCTATACATCCAACATGTACTTTTAAAATATAACTCTGTGCATCCCAGGGTAATCCTTATATAACCGTACCTGTGTAGCACCAAATATCTTTTGCTCTTATTGATTCTTAAATGTTAGTATAAAACCTATATATTTTAGCACCAGTTATACTCTTGGTTTTATTCCTTTTATCCTTTACAATGTAATCTATATATTTAACACATACACCCTTGATTTTATTACTTTGCATATTTTACTACATAATCTAAATAGGTCTAGCACAATATACAGTTAGTGTGTGTCGATTCTTATATTTCAATATACATATACACACACGCGCGTGCACACCGTGCCATCAATTCACGCCCACCCTACTTCCTGTCCCGAACAAAGGTCAGCACACTAACAAAACTAAATACCCCTAAAATCGATACCTAACATTCTCCTGGGGCCCAATTATGGGGGAAACAGGAATAGATCCACTGCCAGCGCAAAAGCATATAATGTCGACTAAATGTGAGTTTCCTTCGAAGTCGGGGTGCATCTATCTGAGAGGCAAGGAACCAACAGTTTGCATGCAAGTGCCAGACCTGTGAAACGAATGTACACGCAACACTCAGGTTTTTTTAACAGGACTAGAGTCCAGAAGTGGACGAACAACCAGAACTGTCCGCCGGAGCTTACAGCCGGTGAACGCGAAGAAGAAGAACAAGAAGAAGAAGAAAGAATACCAAACATCCGTCCACATGGCGGCTAACAATGAATACCCCCATGCACCAAGCTAACGTGACTCGCTTGATCTATCAATTTGTATATTTTCTTATGTATGCCGCTACGGAGTATTTTACTATACACAGTATAGCAGCAGTGGGATGAATACCACCAGCAAACTCATGTATAACTACTTACGCCACCTCTACATGGTCGACGAAAAAGGCAATATACTTTTCTTAGTTCCGGCTGCAGAAGTTAAAGAAGAGATAAAATAAATAATAATTTTTGATGTATCTACCGAAAGAAAGAAATGCCATAGATTATGAGAGTACATACAATTTACTATTAAAACTACGTGTGCCTTAGGTATTCGAATGGATTACCACAAACATGTTTTCAACAGAGTAATCTCCTTCCACGAGGACTGGGGAGTTACCGACCGAGGAAGGACACATGATCAAATGCAGCCACTTTTGCCTTTGATACCCTCGAAGGTTTCCAGATCAGACAGAAAACGGTGGCAGTGGCACTCGATTTAGAAGACGCTTACAATAGAGTAAGACACAATATCGTGATGAAAGCGCTTATGGAGAAGGGAGTCTGTCCTTGGTTGGTGAATCAGATAGCAGCTGTTTTGTATACTCGCAGGGTAGCTCTCCGCGTGGGTTCATGGACCTCTAAACCATGTAATATAGCTCCAGGACTACCACCGTGATCTGCAATTTCACCTTTACTATTCAATGTTTTTACTAGCAAGATTGCCTGCCTGGAAACACATGGAGTTGGCAGAATATTGATGATGTTCTTGTATATAGGAGGCAGAGAGATCGGAATCAAAAAGCTGAAGAGTTACAGGCAACAGTAGATAAGGTGATTAACTGGTTTACAAAAATGAGTGCTGTAATAACCCCAGGCAAGGCAACCGTCCTATGGTGTTCTTTGGACAACAGGATTGTAGGAGCTGATGTTCGCAGACTCAAAATAAATGGCAGGGACATTAAAAGAGACAGCGGTACCTGGGAATCACCTTTAACAGAAGTTTGTCTTTCTGGAATCACATAGAGGGGGTTGTGACAAGGGCTCAACAAGGTCTAAACGCACTAAAAATTATGGCAGCGATGGGCATAAGGGCAGAGAATGCTTTTCACACTTTACTAGCATTTAATCATCTCAGTGATTGATTTTGGACTGGGGTTACTCACTGTCTCGAAGAGTCAGCTAGAGAAACTGGAACGCATACAGAATTAAGCTATGCGGCTGATCCTGGGTTGTACTTGAGACACCCCGATTGTGTGCATGCTATACATCCTTGCATTGCCGACTATTGCATATTGGCTAAAGATGTTGCAGGCTAAGTCATATATCAGAGTAGCTGCAAACAGGGAACACCCTCTGTATACAGCTTTGGCTACAGGCAGAGGTTAGAGGCTGAAAGGGGGAAAATTGATAATGGCTCAAGCAGAAGACACAATAAGACAAGTTTGCATGCGGGAGAACATTAGGCGAGGAGAGGAGTGGGTCAGAGTACCAGCGGAAAAGTCTGACCTGTGTAGGGCAATGAAAACATTGGGCCGGGTGTGCCGAGAGGGGCCAGTGTGTGTTACGGAGGTTAAAGTCAAACAATTGATTCATATCAATTCACGCCCACGTGATCTGATTATCTATACAGATATTTCAGTGTTTAGAGGAAAGAGAAGTGCCTGGGGGTTAGTAGCGAAAGCTAGTAGAAAATCTTTGGTGCAAGACAGCCTAGCATATGACACTACAACATCTAGCATTGAGGAGGCGGTAATTGCAACTCTCTGGTGGCTAGAGAACATGATGCATACACATGTCGTAATAGTAACAGACTCTGAAAACATGCTCAAAAAAGTGAGGACACTGAAGCTTCGAACAGAGTGGCTAGCTTCAACGGAAAGGGTGGTGAGCATACTTTAGATTATTTCTCAAATCAATGCCGGCGTGGTGGGTAATGAACAGGCAGACAGATTGGCTAGATTCGCACCACTGGGTGATGAATCGATACATGACAAGGCAGGTGTGGTCAAGGCCCTTTGGGAACAAGCAACGGAATTATTAGAGAAAGTAGATTATTATGGACTGGAGAGAATGAGGCACCTAGGTGTAACCAAAGGGTCTGGCCTGCTCACAACACTCAGAGGAAAGGCAAGACGGACTTTAAACCAAATTGTGACTGGTACCATCAGTACTGGAACTTTACGTTAGTTGCTGAAGACGAGGACGGAGTATGCATGGTAATGCCCGAGTGCTGTGATGTCAATTCTTGACTCAACTTAACTCTACCTCTAAAACATGTGCAATTTGCTGTTTCGCAAAGTTCGAGTCAACTGTTAACATGCTTACTGTATGCTGTGAATCGATTAATGATTTTCCACGTACGCAAACAAAAAAGGCTAGAGAAACCACACAACAGCCAGGGGCTGCTGGGATTGGTTCTGCAACGTCCTGTAAAGGAAATGCAACTAACCTTTTTTAATCGAATGAAACCCAAAATAGGTGTGCCTATCCTTTGTGATGTGCTGCATTAAAGGACAACTGGATAATGAACGTCTTCACTGTGGGTACGTTTAGGACAAAGTAACCTTGTTTCGTACTTACATATACTTTAGTGACTTATCGTCAGACTAGGAACCGCTGGCTGAGCAGTAAAAAAACGATGGTAATTCACAAGAGGGAAACCCAGGTTCGAATTGTCGGTAAAGTTATGGGGTTTTGTTTTGTTTTGTTCTATCAGAGGCAAAAATAACATCCTAAACGGCAGAGTGCATTGCGACCATAAATCCGCAGTCTCACAGACCCTAATGCTGTCACAAGGAAAAAACAAAAGTGTAAATACAGGCAGGAACAAAATTGTGTGGGGGGAATCAGATGGGAGAATATTTGTTTTCGTAAGAAACACGTTTCTGGGAGAATATTTGTTTTCCTAAGAGACACGTTTGTGGGAGAATATTTGTTTTCGTAAGAGACACGTTTGTCAAGAGTCTCATGTTCACCGACTTGGACATTATTTTAAACAATCAATACCATTATGTCCTAAAAATCAATACCACAGTGCTCTGTCAGTTAATGTATAGATGTTGATCGCTGCAGTAAAGCGTCATTTGTGCAAGCATAACCTGACACACCATTCATGCCGGAATCATTGGTAAATACGAACTCAAGCGTCTTTTGGAAAAGATGCTGGCAGGGGCGCCAGGATATAGTGGTTCCTTCAACTTCAGCCACCCCTCCCTTAATTATTTTTTGTTCTGAGGGGAGGGGTAGCCTCCCATCCGAAATAAATGGGAGCAAAGTGCTTCCCCTGAGCCATATATAGACGTTCTCTGTTAAGAATTTGTTTGCGCATTTCCCATTATATCAAATATTTTTGTATATTTCATTACCATTAAGCGCACATACATTATTATTGTTGCGCACTTGAACAAGGCCCAACCCCCTTGACCACCGCCTTTTCTAGCCATCCCCTAAAAAAATTATAAGAAAGCCGCACAAAATGCAGATGAACAGACGCCTAATTACATTTTTAAAAACCAAATTATTGTGTTTCAATAATTGTATAGATAAAACAATGGTGGACATAGTCACGCTGCTTGACTTTGCAACATTACTTCAGAAGTACCAAAACTAAACGGTATACAGTTTCACCCACCATATGCCCTCAGCTAGCAATTGTTAATTGTCTTCATACCTACCATATACACGTGTTGTTTTTGTTGCTAGGGCAAAAAAAAAAAAACTCACCAGTCATATAACATTTCATAGCTATTGGGATCTCTAATACCGAATCTTGTCTTGGAAACTGAAAGATTTTGGCTATGATCAAACACTAACAGTGCATTGGCGAGAACCAAGGGTGAGGGCATTATGCCGGGTAGTAGGGGTCGGGGTCGACCAGCGCTAAGATGGGCAGAGGAGATCTGAGATACTTTGAGCAGGACTCTCCATGAAGAGGGAGAGAACTGGCGAGGGACCGTGTTTTATTCAGACAGAATGTAACAAAACTGATGTTTTGTAAAGGATCTGCTACATGATGATGATAATGATGTGATACTTTTCAAAATTTGTTTATTACAGACCCGTCTACGAGAGATTGGATTTTGGAAAACTGATCAAGTGAGCGAGATGCTTAAATCTGTCAAAGAGCTCCAGGACCAGCCTAACTCTATCGTTCTACTAAGCGTTGGCCTTCATTTTCAGTTCAATTTGCAGGTGGTTGAAAATAAGGTGAGAGAGGTTTTAGTGTTCTTTGCAATGTTTGCTATGGTGGACAGGCTTGAGGTCACATGCCTGACGTGAGTAGGTACGAGTTATCGCTGACAAGCCAGAAAGAGAGAGAGAGAGAAGAGAGAGAGAGAGAGAGAGAGAGAGAGAGAGAGAGAGAGAGAGAGAGAGAGAGAGAGAGAAAGAGAGAGACTGACATAGTGATTATGAGCTAGAAGTGATGATAACAATGCGATTTCAGAAACAGAAAAGTAAGTATAAACACTAAATGCGTTCTTTGTCATATTAGCAAGCTAGAATAGAATAGAATAGAAAAGACACAAAAAGTAGCTGCTACCTTATGTTTTTTTGCTTTTGTTTTTAAGAATTGCAAATAACCCTGTTCTTCCACCTATTCCAAACAATAATCTCTGGCAGTCACTCTTCTTTAAAGGAAGATTCATACTAATGTTTAGTTTTACATTATTTTTTTTTGTTTTTTTTTTTGTTTAACCATATTACTTTACATATTTCCTTATCTGTCATTTGTCCTATATTAGAGTACAGGCTTTAGATTAACAAAGGCAATATCTTTGAAAATCGATGTACACGCACAATTCTAGGTACCGTAAAATCTAAATCTATTGCAAAAATAGAACAGACAACCAACATCTACCTTTTAGACGCTAAAAAAAAAGACACATAAAAGCACATTTTGCATGCTGAAATATCGAAGAAATGCTAAACCACCAACGGTGCGAAAAGGGGCAACCACATGGCAACTAACTTGAATATCATTTGAGGCCACGATGAATAGCTGAGCAAGTTTTTATATTAAACACCAAGATACTACCACTGTATCCCTGGCCGACAATACTGGACCAACTTGTTCTACCTATACGACAGAACCCTTAGCTCTATGGTACCACAGTACACGAACAAGCTGCGGACACATAAACGCAGGATAACTTTTCTCATGGACAAACGTTTAGCCATGTAGATCAGTGAAACCAAAACTATTAATAACACACTACAAAGTCTAAAAGGAAACATGCTGATCTGTCCAATAAGAAAAAAATCATGCGCAGTGTGATCTATCTCACAATGGCATCAATGGTAATGAGAGCGCTGACAATTTAGCCAAGGTGGTAGGCAATGTCAAACAACAAATCTACCAGTCACTCTTTTTCCAGAAGTTCAAACAACAAATCTACCAGCCACTCTCCTTTCCAGAAGTTCAAACAACAAACCTACCAGCCACTCTCCTTTCCAGAAGTTCAAACAACAAACCTACCAGCCACTCTCCTTTCCAGAAGTTCAAACAACAAACCTACCAGCCACTCTCCTTTCCAGAAGTTCAAACAACAAACCTACCAGCCACTCTCCTTTCCAGAAGTTCAAACAACAAACCTACTAGCCACTCTCCCTTTCAGAAGTTCAAATAACAAATCTACCAGCGACTCTCTCTCTCTTCCAGAAGTTCAAACAAAAAATCTACCAGCCACTCTCCTTTCCAGAAGTTAAAAAAACAAATCTACCAGCAACTCTCCTTTCCAGAAGTTCAAACATCAAATCTACCAGCCACTCTCCTTTCTAGAAGTTCAAACAAAAAATCTACCAGCCACTCTCCTTTCCAGAAGTTAAAACAACAAATCTACCAGCCACTCTCACTTCTAGAAGTCTTCTTATTTTCATTCTCCCTACAAGTGGTTTTTAGAAGAGAAGGCCACAGGCCTGTAAGAAGTATGTGGTGTGAGGTATGTATGTGACCGTTTCATACAGCTTGGGATTCCACTGCATGTAGCGAGCAGTGCCTTTGCCATGGGCCCACGCAAGAGAATGTTTTACAAGACTGCCCGTTCCTGGGAGAGCTGCGAAACATGTGGTTAAACCCAGCAGACCAGACCGGACAGTCGAGCTTTGAGGAAACCTAAGAGACTTTGAGCTGACATCCCAGTTTATGCTGCACTGTGGAATAGGCGTCTGGCTACAGGTCGCTGAAGAAGAGGAGGAAGAACAAGACGGAGAATAAGAAGATGATAAAAAAGAAAAAAGAAAGAAAAGCAGAAAAGGAGAAAATGAAGAAGATGATGATGATAATAATGAAGAAGAAGAAGACGAAGAAGAAGAAGAAGAAGAAGAAGAAGAAGAAGAAGAAGAAGAAGAAGAAGAAGAAGAAGAAGAAGAAGAAGAAGAAGAAGAAGCAGAATAAGAAGAAGAAGAAGAAAGACGAAGAAGAAGAAGAAGAAGAACAAGAACAAGGAGACAAAGAAAACGGTTTAGAAGAAGAAAAATTCTCCTTGCTCTGTATTTTTGTTTCTCCGGGATTTCTTATTGCTTTATTTTTGCCAGGTGGTTTCCAGTGGAAGGTCATTATAATTATACCTTTACTATTTAAAAATGTTTCTCAGTTTGTAACCTAGACATCACTCGATTTACTGGAATGTGTTTAGTTCCGTCCCATTCTCTTCTTTGCGATTCTTACGCACCATTATGATTATACTGTGCAGATTCAGCAAATGTTAATAGTTTAGGCAATCATATTTAATGGGAGAAAATACGTTAGTGAGAAATTATTTTTATTTTCTTTAGAAAATATTTTTTTAATAAATATATATTAAAGGATCAACAGATCGAGTAATCAGAATAGTGTAAAGACGTGATACTATCAGTTAGCATTATTCTTACAGGATCAGATTCACTTATTGTTCTGTGTGTTTCCCCGCTTTCTTGTCCACTTAGGTTTTGAACCCCCTACTGCTGAGTCTGGCAAATTCGTCTTGGCCAAAAGTGATCTGGTTATCTGCGCCATCAGCTGGACTAATGAAATCTCCAGGCTACAAATATCAACAAAAGGAAAATGGTATACAATACAATATCAAGGCTAACGAACTTATGAGGAGAAAAGGCATTCCTGTACTGGATTTCTTCAATATGACCGAACCAGTGATGAGCTTTGATGGAACACATCATGGTGCAGGAGTCAATGACCTTAAGGTCCAAGTTCTTCTGAATTACCTTTTAGAAATTAAAACCAGTACATAATTAGCTGACGTTTTGTTGTTAATGGGTTTGATTGTTTTTAAGGAAATAATTATCCTGAGCATTTTAACAAAGAGTAATATCTATATTCAACTTAAAAATGAACCGTGTGAATATATGGCTTTATGCCCCAGACAGCAGAACA